TCAAAGGGATTTTTAATCCAAAAAGAGCTTCACTGAGTGAGAAGTAATGTTGAGAGCTCAGCAGACAGTTAGGTTTCAATTTCACTTTCACCCGAGAGCCTGCAGGAGTCATAGGCGGGGTAGGGGGCAGGGAGTGTGCTCTGCCATGAGGAAGTTCGACTTAAAGACACGTCCCAGAGGCGTTTCTGGTCCCCACCTGTCATTTTGTTCCTCAGCATGGCTTTCTAAAAACACTGCAGGATTTTTCAAACATGCATGATTGAGTCAAAGCAAGGCTTTGGGCATGTTATTTTTTTATGAAAGTATAATATTATAACATGAAATAAAACTCAAAAAAGTTGATTTTACATGATATTGCCACTTTAAACTTATACAAAGTGTATACTTTACAAAGCAGGTTGTGTTTGTGACTTTATTTTATTTTCCACATGTTGCCCAGCAGTAATGGACCTTTTGTTTTTCTTGTTTTTCACTCTTCCTTCATACTAAGTAGATATGTCATTCACGTAATCTTTCTTATTACATGTTCTCTATTTCTAAACATTGAATAACCCCTTTTTAATTTATATTAAATAATTGGTCCTGATTTACTCGCACCTCCTCCCCATCTCAGTGTTCTAAGATTCTTCTGCCCAAACGTCTTTAAGGACATGGGAAGGGAACAACTTACAGACCAACAAAGCAGCAGTTTGGCATAATTATCTTTGCTGAAGCAGACTATTTAATGTTCAGTTTGCTGGAGTGCTTTTCCAGAAGATGGAGCACTGAGGTTCCTTGTGAGCATGCTTTAGCGCTGGTCTGAAATGCTGTATATTTCTTTTAAAAGGAGGAAAAAGTGATTTTAATGAACCTACAGGAGGGAAACTGTTTATTTATTTAAGATATAGGATGTTTTTGATAAAATTATGACCACTGTTACATCTCTGAGATTTTAGTATTCTTGTTATGTTTGYCTATTGATGCAGGAAAAGCTCAATTACCACATATTCACCCTCACCCATGGCAGTGTGCAAGGAATTAGGAATTGAGCATCAGTTTTTAAAGTTTCCCTTCTCTTCAAGTATGCAAACTACATCATTGCAGTATGAATAAGTGGCTTCTTTCCTTTTGAGGTTCTCAGGTTGGAGGCAGATGTGGCTATCTAATCATGTCCCATGTTGTCTGTTTGAGCCCTGCTGCCTCATTACAGGAAAACGAAGCAATGCCTTGTCTGTCTTTGTGAAATAAAAAAAAAAACCTCATAGCTACTTAGTTTGTGCTGGCTGCTCTGTGTATCTGCCTTATTATTCCCTAGTAGTGAATAGATGTAGCATCCCAGTGTAACACAGGTGCAGGATAATGGGCAATCT